GTAGGAGTTTTGCCCGCCCATGCATTTAAGCCCCCAGCCCTCCACAGGAGGGCGCTCCAGTACGGGCGCGCCGCCGCGATCGCGCTCGCCCGCGTGGCATAGGCGTGCCACACGAGTGCGTGCTGCTGCTCGGGTGCGCCTTCAGTTCATCAGGGACACCCGGTGCCTCGAGACCCACCACAGGAGTGCTGCACCGATGGGACCGGGCAAGGCGATGTGAGCTTGCACGCGATGTGAGCTTGCACGCGGTGTGAGTATTGTGCAAAGGAATTACGTGTGCAAGTGTGGGAAGCCGTCTGGAGCGTCATCCGAATAATGGTTCGGGCCAACAGAAAGGTCAGGGGCAGGACGGCACACAGCTAGCCCCCAGCCTGCCCACAGCGCAGAACGGTGACCCAGGCATGCTCGTGGAAGCGATGCGGGTAGCGGTGGACCTTGAGCTGCAGGCGGCGATCGCGCAGCAGGAGCCGACGGTGCAGGCACCTGCCGCCGCTTCACCCGAAGAAGCGCATAGCAAGGCCGAGGCAGCTTGGAGGGGCGCCAGCGTGCAGCACGACGCCGCGGTGAAGCCGGTGGAGCGGGCGACCGACCGGCTCGGGCAAGCGCAGGTGCGTGAGCAGGAGTCGGTGCGCGTCTTGGCGCAGTAGAGAGGTCGCGAGGAGGATCGCGGTCAGAGTCTCGGCAGTCGAGGCAGGTCTCGCACGTCAGGGCGGTGCACCGCCAGGTAAGCAGCACGCTGGCGAGATCCAGTTCGATGTGGTCTCGGACGGAGGTTTTTTCGTTGCAAGTCGTTGCACGACGGCACGTGGGGGTGCGAGGTGAAGGAAAGCAGGACATCCTCCAGCTTCACAAGGACCTCGTGGCGGCGAGGTCCTACCTCGGGGGGACGGGCGACAAGGTTTGGGAGCGGCACTCCCGCATAAAAGGCGTATGAAGGCCATGAAGGCGGCGTTGCAGGACTGCCCTGCCAAGAAGCGCGCAGGGCGCGAACTGCCAGGCACATGCAGCTGGTGATGGAGGCGGTGGCGCGGCTGCTGCGGCTGCGGCGACGACGGTGGTGGCGCCCGAGGAGGCCGCGGCAGCGGAAACCCAGTCGTTGGAGGGTGGGTGCCGAGGTCCGTTGCGTTCGGGCGGCCAAGGAGGCGGTGGCGCAGACGGCAGCAGCCGCAGAACGAGCCCAGGCTCTTTGTCAACCCAGCCAGAGCGACGGGATCCCAGTGTCGCACGGTTTCTGGGCAAGCTCGGGCGACGGAGGGCGGGGGGGTGTTCTTGTCGTGGGGCCGTGGACGGGCGCGTGGATCGAGCGGATGTCGTCTTGGGCAGCTGTGGATTGATGGTCAGAAGCAGCTGGTTGGGTTCTTGCCTGTTGTGATTCGCATGCAGGGTTGAAGTTTGGTGGTCGTCGTCTTCTATGGCAGGTGCAGGCGTGATGTGCGTGCAGACAATTTAGCTAGATTCGCCTGTTTTGGGCTCACTTTTGATGGCCCTGCAACTCCCTTGGGTTATCTTGGGCGAGTTCATTGCGCCTTCGTCAGAGCTCCAGCGCGTTGGCTTTCTGTCCAAGGTCGGGGCGTCAGCGCTGCAAGCTCCTTTAGAAGGCGCCTGTGTTGGCGCCGACGGTGCGTCTCGCATCGATTGCGCGTTGGTCTCTAGAGCGGTCGCTTCTTGCGTCTCGGGGCTCCAGGCTATCCAGGGCATTCTTTGGAAACCACGCCGTGGCTTAGTTTTGCAGTCGGGGGAGGGGGGGTCGCGGGGGTAACTTATGATTGGGTCGCTCATCTTGCATCGGCGATTTGCGCGGGTCTCTCGCCCTCGGCAAGGGGGCCACCGGTCTCCAAATCTCCCAGGGAACGTCGTGCACGAGCGGTGCGCCAGGCTCTCGAAGGACAAGGGCGAGTAGAGCGAGCTGCCAATTAGCTTGGAGGCATCAAGGAAAGGCCGCGACAGCAAGGCTCACCCGCCGGAAGTCGGGGCGAGCTCCGGGTCCCAGCCGGCAAACCTCCAGACCGAAATTAGCGAAACTTCTGGGCTCCAAACGAGCTGCTCGGCATTCAGAAATTGTTCGAATATGTCCAAACAGCGTCTGGGCGGCTGTCTCGTCGCCAGAGAGGTCGCGGAATGGAAATTGCCGCCGTCAGGGCCGATCGGGCGGAGTGCTTGGTGGTGTCTGATTGACGTCGGCGCGACGCCTGAGGAAGTCCGCGACGGCCTGGGAGCGCGCCTGGCCGCGAGGGTGGAGGCGCGCAAGGCGGCTGCCACGTCGCAGGTGGCCAAAATCTTCGCGACCAGCGCGTCCTGCTGCCGCGCGATCCGCCGCGTGCGGCGCGTTCTTTTTGTTCCCGAGCAGGCGAGGGGCAGAGTGGAAGCAGCGGTGTGGCAATTCGTTTTGGCCGTTCCCGCGTTGGAGCTCGTGGCGCTATCGCGCGTCGACAGCTGTCTGGCGCGCGCGCGCAGATCTCCGCGATTTCCGGCTGCGGAGCATTGGGGGCTCGATCGACTCTGCGGCCAAATGGGAGATTTTCGGCGTCGGGCAGAGGGGGTCCGGAGGCGCTGGACATCCCGCGCGCGCGGGGCCACCTGCGGGCGAGCTTCTCGATTCTTCTGCGGCGCCGCCAGCGCCGCGGCGCATGCCGCGCAGCGGCGCAGTCCGGGGCCTGCAATGGCGCGGCCACCAAGGCGCTGTGCCGGCGCTTGATGGCGCGGAGACCGACGCAGTGGAGGGGCGCGTTCGCCGCCGGATGCAGGGCCCGGCCATCCGCCCGCATCGCGCCTTTGACAATTTGAGGCGCCCTGCCGACCCGCAGCGCCATGGGCGCGCGCTTTCATTGGCTCTTCAGCGCGCTGGCCACCGCGAGACGCACGCGGCTTCCGAGGTCAGTCCCGTGCCTCCTGTGAGGGGGCGGTCAGGAGAGCATAGGGCGCGCGCGCGAGGGCCCCGTGGCCCGGTGTGCGAACAACATCATCTGCCAAAGTACTGGCGTGATGGACGACTTGCATGAGTCATGTGCGTCTCTGAGCTCGCAGTTGCACGGTGCCCAGTTGCAGTCCATCTCTGCATTGCTTCCCGCTGCGGGCCGGACCCGCTGGGCGGCGCAGAGAGGGGGTGCCCTCGACGACGGGCGAGACCTCGTGCCGCATCTTCTATGCTTGGCGAAGCACCATTTGATCGGTAGCTCGGAGAGCGCTCGAAGCAGACGTGAACGCCGGGCGCGACGAGCGAGAGGGCCGCCCCCAGAGGAGCAAACGGCCACCTACAGGTCAGACGAGGCGTCCCGGGGTCAGGGCCAAGCTGGCGACGGTCTTGTCAGAAGCAGTTCCGGCGCCGTCCGTCTTCGGGGCGGGGCGGTGCAGGGGCGCGTCGGCCGACCATTGTCGTCGTGCAGCAACAACGTGGCAGAGTACGGGGGCGTGCTTAGCTGCTCCCAGGGTGCCTTGTGCTGGCCAGACGCCGCGGTCACGTTCCAGGTGGGCAGGCGAACTACAGACTTGTTAGCCAGGCTCCGCGATGTGGGTGCGACGCGCAGCATCCGTCACATCTACCCTGAGTTCAACGCCCTCGCCGCCAACATTGCCAACCAAATCCTCAACGACGGCCAGGACATCGCGGATGATTGGCTGACGTAGTGGTGGACGCGTGGAATCTCTCGTGTTGGGTGGGGTCGTGGGACCATTGCAACTACAGCAACAAGCTACGGGCGAGAGTGCTCAACGCTTCATATATGTCAACGGTCATTGCGGCGGCTGGCGCCGACAGGACATCATCATTCAGGAATGAGCTGGGCGGGGCAGAACTTAGCATAATTGAAAGAGGAACTGTGTTGTAGTTTGGGACCTGGTGGCCCAGTCTGAGGCCCAATAGATTCGATTGTCTGGGAGTTTTTGGTTTCCAAATGGGATCAAGTGAGGGGTCAGTTTCTCTCGGGGCGTGTCCAGACCCTCGACGCAATCAATTTCTAAAGTTGTTGACGCACCCCTGCGATGTCGCCCCCTCTCGCCCCATCAACGCCCTCCCCTTTAATGTCGAAGCAATCCGAAACGCGGTCAGGGGTGGCGAGATTCCGAAGTTCTCCGATGACCGACACTGGAGTGGGGGCGCTAACAAGTTTTTCGCACGCAATGTCACCCATTTCCTGAGCATCACCTACACGAATGACTTGTGCGCGCATTTTAGAGGTTCATTTCGCCGAGGGTAGTAGAGCGCTCTCGGATCGTTCTCGAGCGGTTTCGAGTGACCGCAGCGCCCGTCGCATCCTCCAGACCCGCCTTGTCGGATATTCCCGGTTTATCATCGCCCGATCTTGTTTTTACCCCGTCTTCGTTTTGAACTTTCTACTGTGCGCTCATACCCCCGATCCATCGCGGAGCGGCGTGCTCGTTTTTGTCCTCGTCTCCTCGCCCCGCTGTCCTGAGCTTCGTTTTGGTCCTACCTTCGCAAAACATAGCGCCCTCGACAATCATATATCCAGACAGCGCTCTTCCAATTCTGGTGACCATAATTCGCCTCGCCCGCGGGGGTGCCCGAATCCAGCCAAACTTCTTGCCAGCATTGTAGCATGCCGCTTGTGGCAAGTGGCCGCACAGCTCGATGATGACGAATCTGCACCACCTGTGCAGTTCACTTCGTCGGGGCTTGCCGGCCAGATCTCGACCCCCATCCCCCTCCACTCCTTGGGCCCTGGACCTCTCCAGGTGGGGTGCGTTCCGACCGGGATCTCGAGGATCATCCGGCCATGGCGACGGGAGGCTTCCGGGAGGCCCAGGAGGGGCCGAAAACGCCCACGATTTTCAAATTTGGATCTTCCCCCCCCCGCTCCGCCCCGTGCCTCGCGCCTCGCCCTCGAACCTCCCCCCCCTGCAGACCTGGAGCCCCGAGCCTCGAGCCCCGGCCCTCGAAGCCCCCCCCCCCCCCGAGCCTCGAGCCCCGAGCCCCCGAGCCCCCGAGCTCCGCGCCCCGAGCCCCGCACCTCCCGCCGGGGCGCCCAAGGCAAACGCGCGATCGCATGCAGAATTCGTGCCTCCGCGCCCGCGGCGTGCGGCACGCCGCGCCCGCGGCGCGCCGAGGGCGCGGCGGCGGCGCCGAGCGCCGAGGCGATCCGCGCGCGCGCGCGCTCGGCGCGCCCGCCGTGGCGGCGGCGTCCCCCTCGGAGTCGAGGCGGGCGTCCGTCGGGAGGCGTCGGGTCGGCGCCCCCCCGTGGGCTGCGGCAGGCGAGCTCCGCCCTCGCCGATCAACGAGTCAGGCAACGCGTTGGAGGATGAGAAGGGAATTCTTCACGCTTCGCGTATCCCCACCAGCCCATCTCAAAACAGCAACTCTTGCGAAACATGAGGCCTCGTGGGGGGAAAAAGGGGGGTTGAAGACAGAGCGGGCTCTCTAAACCACTCACGCCCAAAGGGCTGGTGGGATTGCCCATGCCGCTACCATTCCCTCGTTTTCCCCTGTCTGGGGCTCCAGGGAGGCCATCGTCGCCACCGTTGGATTCGTCCCGGAATCTCTTCGTCAGAACCCACCGCGGCAGAGGTCTTTCGGCCACACGCAGAGGGGGGTGTGCGGGCAGGTGGCCCGCACACTCGTCTCGGGCCCGCCCGCGGCCATCCCGAAGCCGCGCACCACAGGCCACTCTGGCCCGGAGTATCTCTTACAGTGGAAACCCATGCCAAAAAACACCCTGCTTGCCTCAGGGGCAGGTTTCTGGGGTTTCGATGGCTTTGCGATGGAAAGCGTGACGTTCCCACACCAAGAAACAATGGACGTCCTGGGGTCTCAGGGTTGGGCTTCCCAGACAACCCCAATCCAACCCGAAGGCCCCATTTTGCCCTCCACTCCCAGCGGGGGGGGGGCGTCGGGGAACACTGGAGCAGCACGTGTGGAACCCGTCCCCCCCCCAACCCGAAATCTGGGTCGTCGAGTTGGGTTGGGGTGGCCTGGTAGGTACGGTAGGTTCGCGTGGTGTTGACCGGCGGCGACCCCGCCGCGGGCGTTCAAGGTTGAACGCCACCAGTGGCCCGGAACTCTATGGAACGATCGGGAGATCGAAGAGCCGCCGATCGTTCAAGGTTGCACGATCCACGCGGTGTCAGAAACCAACGCCGGGGTCGTCACGACACGAACCTTCCGTAGCCCACCGACGATTGCGTCGTCGCCGTCGCCGTCGCCGTCGCCACGTCCGTCGCCGTCGTCGTCGACCGAGGATCGAGGGCCGAGAATCCAGGATCGAGGATCGAGATTTGATCCCGTCATTTTCCTCGCCATGCAGCTTGTTGCCGTGGAGGGGAAGTGGGAGGGAGGATGAGAGGCGGGACGCAAGAAGGGCAGCATTCGACCCCGCTGCCAAGCTTCGCATTTGGTCTTCCCCATCCTACACACGCGTTGTTGTCATTATCTCTGCCCTCTCGTAACCCCCTGCAAGTGGAACTGCGAGTCGCGAGCCCGCTGCCTTGGTCGGCTGTACTCTTCCCAACGTTCCGACCAGCGTTTGCCTGTCAGGGGATGAGATCGTATTGTTTTTGTGCACATCCCTACCCAGTACCGACGACCACTCTCCAATGCAGCGCTTCCGGCAGGGACTCGCGCCACCGAGGCCCGACGCGGGTGGGTCACGGCTCGTTGGCGCGCGAGCCGGGGCTGCAGGCGGAAGAGATGAGGAAGCCGGCTCAAGAATCTGGGAGGCATTGGTCATGGCGCCAACAACGCACAGCGGATTTCGTTCGGAAAGCGGTAGGAGGCGCCCGGAGTGTCCTGGAGAATTTCGTTCTGGATTTCGAGGTGAATTTCGTGCGAATTTCTCCTGCCCAGGAATACAGACTAACCAACTAATCCACGCGAAATTCACTTCGTTTTTCACTCGCCGTTTCTGGGTTTTGCATCGACAGAAATCCATGCACAAATCCGCTGCAGCACGTCTGCAAGGTCGGTGCAATGACAAATCTGGGAGGCACTGGAAGGAGAGGCGGTTTGCCGAGCCCTGCTGGAAGTCGAGAACGGCCCTTCGCCAGAGGTGCCGCGCTATTTTTTTGCCCAGGGTCGCCCTTGCTTGCAGTGATGGGCCTGTTTTCCACCACCACCACCACCACAAGTTGGAGGGGGGAAGGAGGTGGATGAGGTGGAGGAGGAGGAGGAGGAGGAGGAGGAGGAGGAGGAGAGGAGGAGGAGGAGGAGGAGGAGGAGGAGGGGGGGGGGAGGGGGAGGGGGAGGGGGAGGGGGAGGGGAGGGGAGGGGGAGGGAGGAGGAGGAGGAGGAGGAGGAGGAGGAGGAGGAGGGAGGAGGAGGGAGGAGGAGGGAGGAGGAGGAGGAGAAGCAGGAGGAGGTGAGGAGGAGGAGGGAGGAGGAGCAGGAGGAGGAGCAGGAGGAGCAGGAGGAGAAGCAGGAGGAGGAGGAGGAGGAGGAGGAGGAGGAGGAGGAGGAGGAGGAGGAGGAGGAGGAGGAGGAGGAGGACCCCCTCCCCCCTCATACTTCTGGTGGTGGCAGTGGAGAGCAAGCCCACCATGCAGCTGACGCCGACGTGGTAGGCCTTGGGAGGCAGCTCCTGGGAAGTCCCCGTGGGCGCGGTGGAGTTTCTCTCGGCCCGGCGAGGGGCCGGATTGGGCTGGACTGGGACTCCGAGTCGAGGCGGGCGGCGTCGGTCGAAGAAGAAGAAACTTTGGCGCTCCGCGCGGGTTTCTTGGATCCGCGTTGGGGCTCACTCTGGCGGCGCCTCTGGCGCCGCCCCTGGCGCGCTCCGCGCGTCAGGGAGGGGGGTCCAGTGCAGATCCAAGAAATCCGCGCGGAGCGCCAAACGTTTATGTTCATGCCGTTTTTTCTTCTTCTAGTCGGGGGGGATTGGGGATACGAAGCGCATCACCACTGCGGGGGATGCGGGGTGAGCTGATATGCAGTCTGCAGGCGTGCACGCTGCACTGCGGGAGCGCCCGAACATGCACACTGGTGCCAACATCCCCTGACCCCCCTGTCGCCTTGACCCAAGGGGGCGCGGGGAGCTCGCATCATGCAGTCTGGACCGTCAGGAAGGCTCCCGCCTGGCTATGCGGCCTGGCCGGAAGAGGAAGCGGCAACCTGGTTTTGTTATCGGTCGCCGCGCCTGTTTGTAGAGGGCTAGCGGTGAATTCCCGAAGAAGAAGAATAATAAGAATAATAAGAAGAACAGGAGGAGGATGATGATGATGATGATGAGGAGGAGGAGGAGGAGGACGGGGGGAGCAGGATGAGGAGGACCTCGAGGAGGAGGAGGAGGAGGAGGACGAGGGGGAGGAGGAAATGGGAGGGTTCAGGCGCAAGGGTTTGGCGCTCGGGTTTGGCGATGCGGAGTTTGGGTTTCAGGTATCACAATTTGAGTGGGAGGGGTGCGGGCTCAGGCACCCGAGTTTCGTAAGTTTGTTCCTTGCACGAGTTTTTATCCGACATGCTTGCTGTATGCCAATCCGCCGACCCCAGTAGGGGGAGATCGTGTCGCTTCGTAATTGAACGGCAAACCAACAAGTTTGCAGATAGCTGGGGGCCTTCCCATGTCAATCGTGGGAGCACGAGCGGGGAGGAGGAGGGAGGAGGGGAAGGAGGGGGAGAGGAGGAGGAGGAGGAGGAGGAGGAGGAGGAGGAGGAGGAGGAGGAGGAGGGCGGAAAAGGATGAGGAGGAGGACGACGACAGGCCAGATGTTGCGGAGAAGGAGACTGTATATGGAAAGTGCAGTCGAAGAGTACGAAGACGAGGAGGAGGAGGAGGAGGAGGAGGAGGAAAAGGAGGAGGAGGAGGAGAAGCAGTAGGAGGATGAGGAGGAGGAGGAAGGAGAATGAGGAAGACGAGGACAAGGGAAATACGGAGGAGGAGGAGGAGGAGGAGGAGGAGGAGGAGGAGGAGGAGGAGGAGGAAAGAAGCATCACCACGCCCACGTCTCCTTGTCATGGCGCCTCTTGGGCTGGGGGCGCAGGCGTCGACGCGCGGATGCTCGAACTCTTCGGCGGTATGTATGGGTCCCTCCTTGGCTTCCTTTTTGTGTGGGCTCGCAGCTATTTTGGGCCTCTCTTGGGCCACCCTTGGGCTCTCCTCTGGGTTGTGCTCTTTGGATTGTTTGAGGGCTTTTCGGATGCCTCTAATCTAAGGGCCTTCTCGGAATTCTCTTGATGCTCTCTCTGGGCGCTCTCTCCAGACCACTTGTGGCTCTGCTGGGCTCCCATGGGCTCCTCTTGAGGCCCTGTTGTGTCACCTCGGGGCCGTCTTCAGCTTTCTGGGGCATTTATGATAGCGGCCAAAGCGAGAAGACCCCACTCATTTGAATACATTGCTTGAATAACGCTCATCAGCCTTTCGGGGCTTCCTTTGGAGGCACCAGTGCTAGCTTGGACCCATCTGCGGGCCAACTAGATGCATCTATGATCACCCGTAAGAGGCTTTCATGCGCTATCTTGGCAACCTGAGGTGGTCTTGGAGGTCAGCTTGGGCTACATTGGAAGCTTACTATGCCATGTTCTGGGACTCCGGGGCACAGAGGTGTGATAACGAGCTCCTCGCCCGCCTTCGGACCTCCAGGCAGGCGGACACGAGCGGGGGTGAGCTAGATGTCTTACGCGCTTTGTTACCCATAGGAGCGCGGTGCTGGCGGGTTTGACTAGTTTTTTGTTTGCTCGGGCTGCCTGGCATCGGCTGCTCGTGCACCAGATGCGAGCTGCTACCGGGGCTGGTCCTCAATGATCTGCAAGCCGTGCTGTTTGAGGCACACGACACCGGTCTCTGTCTGCTCTGGAGTGCTTCCTGCAGAGAAGATGATCAGGGCAGCCGCAAAACAGCGTCCTAATTCTGCAAGTTCACCGCTGTCACAGTCCACTTCGGATGGGTTTTGGTGGGCGGATCGACAAGCTTCGGTATCGAACCGACTCGGCGTCTGTGGATTTGAGCTCGGCCCAGTCTCTTTCGTAAAGCCTCTTCCAGGCATTTGTTGCAATCGGTTACGCCTGGCTATGAGATCCAGGGGGCCCCCTTGCGGTACTCTCGATTGGCATAATCTTCTCCGTGACTCACGGTGAGCGCACGTGCGATCGGCTTGACGAGGCACCACATTCGAGAGTCCATTGGGCTCGGTGCTGTCGCTGGGCGCTGTCTTTGATTCGCCCTGCCTGTCGCCTCCGCCCGTCTCCGCTGTCCCTCTACCAGGAGGAGGAGGAGGAGGAGGAGGAGGAGGAGGAGGAGGAGGAGGAGGAGGAGAAGGCCGTGACAGCAACGGCCCCCGCGCGACAGCAATGGTCCCCGCGCGTCTCGAGGGGTTGACGACGGCGACGATGATGACGATGACGACAGCCTCGGACCCATCCTGCGACGCGATCTGGCCAGAGTCGTGGGGCAGATCTGGCAGTGGCTACGAGACCCCCCCCCGCCCACCATGGGGGCCCAGTGGGGCCAAGAGCGCCGACGGAAAACTCTGACCCTCCAAGAGCGACGACGACGGCGAAGACGACGACGACGACGACGACGGAGGACGACGACGACGACGACGACGACGCAGGACGACGGCCGACGACGGCCGACGACGGCCGACGACGACGACGACGGGCGACGACGATGCATTGCGGATGCACCCTGCTATCTTTCAGAAGCGCGTTTGCTGGCCAGCGTACTGCTCGTCGGCTCGGTGATGCTGGCCTTGCTGCGTGCTTCTTTCGCGGGTGCGGCCACAGTCGTTCAATGGAGCGCAGCATGGGGCCGGGGAGACCTGGAGGCGCTCGAGCGATGCTGCCACCGACCGAGAGGGGCAGACCCTGGCCGGGACTTGCTCTTGCCGACCATGGAGCGATCGGCACCTCGAAATCGCGCTCCTGGGGGAGGAGGGGGAAGGGGGATTGAGGAAGAGGAGGGGGAGGGGAGGAGGAGGAGGAGGAGGAGGATAGGAGGAGGAGGAGAGGAGGAGGAGGAGGAGGAGGAGGAGGAGGAGGAGGAGGAGGGGGAGGAGGAGGAGGAGGAGGAGGAGGAGGAGGAGGAGGAGGAGGAGGAGGAGGAGGAGGAGGAGGAGGAGGAGGAGGGAGGAGGAGGAGGAGGAAGAGGAGGAGGAGGAGGAGAAGGACGAGGAGAGGAGGAGGAGGAGGAGGAGGAGGAGGAGGAGGAGGAGGAGGAGGAGCTACAGCTCGCCCTCCACCATGCCGTGCACCGCCTGCGCGGCAGCGGCGTCCAGGAGCCCCGGCCGTCCCTGCCGAGGCCGTGCACCGACCCTTCCTCTCCCAGGGCCAGCCACGGGGGTGCGGAGCCGGTCGCGCCTCTCGCGGACGGGGCGACCTCCGGGCGACGCGCGAGGCCCTCGTCCTGCTTCGGGGGGAGGGCGCGGGGCGGGGGGGGGGCCGCGCGAAGGCCATCGCGCTCCGCGCTTCCGCGGAGTGCGAAGAGCGCGGAGACAGCCGCCCTGGCTGCTTGGAGTCGCGCCGTGCTTCTGCGCCGTGCCTCGCAGGCAGATCCTGCGCCCCGTCGGGCAATGCCTGGCGCCACACCCGCGCGCCCCGCCCCGCTTGCCCGAGCGCCGCACGGGGCGAAGGCGTCCCGCAGGTTGCCCACCGCCCCCGGGCGCTCGCCGACGCCACCCGCCGCTGCCGGCAGGCGCTCGGTTGGTCGGCCCGGGGCCCCTGCCGCAACGCCGCGCGGTGGACCGCGCAAGGACTTGTTCCGCGCCCCCCCCCCCGCTCGTTGATCCCCGCCGAACGCCCCTCAGATGCCCCCCCCCTGGACTCCCCCCCCCCGTTCGCCGCAGCGCGCCCCCCCTCCCGCCTCACAGCCCCTCCCCCCGTGGGGTGGGGGGGCCGTTCGAGCATGACTCTTCCGGGGTTCTTGTGAGCGGGGGTGGCCGGGGGGGGAAAGGGTGGAGGGCAGGCAGGCACAGGCAGCAGCGGCAGCACGAGCGGCTGGAGTCTCGCCGCCGTTGTTTGCCCCACGGGCTGGAGTCCCGAAACAGCGGGGCTTTTTTGCCAGGAACTTTTTGGCTCAGCGTGTCGCGGCGGCGGCCCCAGCGACATGCTGTGCCCTGCGAGCGGATATGGCATGTCGCTCCTCTCCGCGGGGCGGGGGGCTGGAGAGAGGCTCTCGGGACGTTGACGCCCGGGGACCTTGGGAGGTGGATGGCGTGTCGCGCCGAAGCGCGGCGGGCCAGAAAAGGCGGCGGACCGACACGCGGGGCCGCCAAAGGTTCCTGACCGTACCCCCCCCCCCCCCCCCCCTCTTGACGAGACAGCACAAACCCACATGGGGCTATGGGTGCGTGTTGTCGGATGGGGGTCCCCGCTCGAGCGGGAGCCCCCCCCGCGGTCCGGCAACCCGCACACATACCCATAGACAGTCCTCCTCCCCCCGATCCCCCTGCGGGTACGGGTGTGTTCCTAGAGTTCCCACCCGCAGTTCCCAGAGTTTCCGATTTCCCGACCGCAGAAGGGTGCCCGGCCAGAGCCTCGACCCCCGAAAGGGCCATGCCTCAGGGGTGGCCGGTCGGACGGGGCCGCGTCCGCCGCGCTCGCGGCCCGAGGACGCGAGGCCGGGGGCGGCGGGGATGTGCTGCACGCACGGCGCGCATGGCGCGCCGCCATGCGGTACGATCGGAGTGGGCACGGGGAGAACGGGTACAATCTGTCGGAGAAGAAACC